TTAAGGATTTAAAATAGAGTAAAAATCTCATCATGTCTCGTTCTCATGAACCCAATCTTGTGTCTCGTCTTGTCTCATCTCGTGGAGTAGGTGTCTCGTCACATCCCTAATTAATATTATACTATAATTTTTGGATTTCTTTATACCTGTTAGCCAGCACTCAATTTTGGAGATTTACACTACCTAACTTTAAATAGTAACACTTCCTGACTCCAGTAAGCTACAAACACAAATTATGTATCATTGGAAAGAGGACACTTTGAGCTTTACTGTGGTAAATGGAGAAGTTGTATGTTAAAAAATATAAAAAGGTTATACATCATGAAGTCATGAGGAATTTTTTTTTGTTTAATTTTAGTTTTACATATAGAAACACAAGAAAACATTAATGTAATGTCCTAGAAAAAATATGACTCGAAAGCGAAGTATTTCATATGTTTACATTTTGAATTTGATGAAGATAGCATGCAAAATGAGATTACTGTAAAAAGTTTTCTATGTCGATGTCCTTCTCTCCCTCACCGTCAGAGGCACTTTCTCAAAAATCATCTTCCCAAGTTGAAACATTTACAGTTGCTGAATGATTTGGTCTACATTCAAAGTTTATGTATCTAAAGAAGACAATCTGGGGGCTTTGTTATCCATCATCTAGAGATTATAATGCTCAAAATGAAAAAAAGTTATAGATGCTTAAGTAATGTAAAAAAATTCACCATACTAAACATTTTATTATTTCATAAACAAATATGTGAAATTTGTTCTGGAGCAGCACAGAAAAGCAATAGATCAAAAGCTACACATCTCCTGAGTATATGTTTTGAATTTGATGCCAATATCATGCAAAATTTCTGGAATTATTTTTCTGAGACAATGTATTGTGTTTTTTTCCCTCTCCTTGTTTGTGGAGAAGTCTGATGACCACACGTACTGAAGGTTTCACTATTTTTTTTAATTGTAAAATAATGAGCAGAAATGTATAGTATGAATGATTTATTTGAGCACAAGAAGTACATTTCAGCTACATGACAAAAAACTGAATTAGGATTCTATTGTAAACAATTGTTTTTCCTCTTGAGCAGCAAACACAATTTACTCTGATGCCCATTTATTCATATTTTAATTTCTACAGATAGCTTAGCTTACAGCAGCCATTCAGATGAATGACAAAACATACTGTATGATAATAACAACCATTACTGAAAGATTACCGAAGAGACATTCACACTTATAGGCACAAGCAGGCTAAACACAGAGAAGAACTGAGACGTAAACAACGAGGCAATGAGAGTAAGTTCTCACTGTTAGAAAAACCAAAACTATTAGCTCTCCTCAGAAATAGTCCCCTCTTCGTTTCAAACAGTCTTTTAAAAGTCTTTTCAGCAAATTACAACTTTTGACGATGCACTTTCAGCTTTCTTTTTGCAAACGAGCCGCACGCTCGGCGTTAGCCTAAACTGTAGCAGCTGTGCTGCAGAGGGCAGGTGCGATCGAGTGATGATTGACAGCTCTCTGAGCCACTAACAATAAGATCAAAATTCATGCAGCCAATGGCTAGTTTCTCTGTCAGTCAACCTTCTGGGAAGAAGGAAGTAGCTTCTGACGGAGCGGTGACAGAAATGCAGACGACCAAAACACTCGGCTTTGTTTAGATTTTAGTAACTATAACTTTGGCTTTTTATTCAGTTTGTGGTCTCGTTTTATTTGTAACACTGTAAGCTATGACATAAACTTGCCTTTTACTGCAAAAACGGCGTTTTCACGTGTGAGTACCATGGTAAAACAGTGTAAACAATAGGTCTCCGGTAGAAATGGTGACATAAACAATGGAATAACCATCCATAATTACACACTATTGTGTCGGTGGACTAAATGTGTTCGATGGGATGTTTTTCTGTGGACTCTTTCCTTTTAAAATAAACCGTGATGTACAGCAATGAATGCGTGTGTGTGTGTGTTGGTATTACATGATATGTACGCCATATCTAATAAGCGTTTTCTGTAAAACTTACACAAATTAAGCACATACATTCTTTATAAGCTTTCCACAGAAATACAACTAGCGGCAATGGGTGCTTAGGGGATGTAGCTTTAAACTGATGTAGAGTTTTTCAAGATTACTCTTGTCCTTTTTGGTGTAATCTATTCATAAACATTGACATATGGAAAAACAGCGCCTCAGTGCGACCTTGTCGGGGCGCTGTGGAAGGGGTTAATATGCTATAATAAAATGAAAGTAATGTTTGGTGATTGATTACTTCAAACTTAGCACAAAAACATCCTCATGATCGCGTCTGCAATGATATAAAACTGTATTTCTTTTTTTTTAAATACTGACAATAGAAAATAACAGAAGGCACAACAAATATATATATATATATATATATATATATATATATATATATATATAGAGAGAGAGAGAGAGAGAGAGAGAGAGAGAGTATTATAAACAGGTATTATATATTTGTTATTAAATAAAGGTTTAAATGAACATTTTAGGCAACCATTCTAAAAAAATGTCAGACAGGTTGGCCTTCAAAAATTGATCGAAGAAAGAAGTGGGCCCCAAAGTGAAAAAGGTTGAGAACCCCTGCCCTAAATGTAGTATTTTAGTTGCGGATGCATACTTTGAGAGCCTTCCTGATTGAATGAATGAAATACACTGTGTTACACAATATATAATTGGCTAAAGTGACAGTGGCCAGGTTAAAAGAACCAAAACAAAGACAGACGCTTCGGCATGTAGCAAACATTTTCAAAGCAGAATATTTGACCTCAGCATTGTTTTTCAGATAAACAAGAATGTTCACTGAGCATGTTTCTTAAGTATATGCAAACATATTATGGTATTTGTATGCTTTAGAAGAGTCAAAAAATTAGATACAGCACCATTAAAGTTGATGGCTGCTGGTAAACTTTCAAGCCAGCGATGAAAGACCACATATTTTATCCAAGGATTACAAAAATCTTTTATTTCCCAAATTTGTCTCAGACAAGATGTGGCTGTAATTGCACAGTGTGCGCACTGTCCCACATGATTCTATGACCTCATTGACTGTAGATATGTGTCTCCTCCCGCTGAACATTTCCTCGCCCTATATTTTGCCTTGTCATTGGCTGTAGTTTGCTCTTAAATGAAGATATAGAACTTTTCATTGACATAAATATTCTGCTCTCATTGTCATTTTCAGTCAAAACTGAACCCAAAGTTGGGATAAAGTCTTCTTCAGTTTATATAAAATAGTTGTATACAAAAATATGTTAAATCCAAAATATATCAAAATTTATTTAAATTTTTTTACAAAAGTTGTAATTATTTTTCGAGTTTTGCACAAATCTGCAACAATTAAAAGCCAAATATTTGTGTTTGACCTGAATTGAATAACTTAAACTTATGTCAAATAATTTTAATAAGTGGTTCCATACAAGGTTCAGTTGATGGATGAAGGCTTAAATGGACAAAGCTGTAAATGTGTGTAAGCAGTAAAAAATTCAGATGTATGAAAGAGCGTACGTGGAATCTCACGCATATTCTCTTTGTACATCCAAATTAACGTAAAACTGAGCGCACGTGCACTAGAGCAAAACCCCTCCCTGCCTCCTTCCCCTAATAAATATGCTAATGACTCTACTTTGGCAAAACCAAATGTAAAAGCAATGGCAAAAGCAAGCAAAAAGAGAAACTTAACAGAATGTGAATTGGAGGTGCTCCCATCAGAGGTACCCGGAGAAAAAGGGTGTTATTTGCAAGTTTGTCCTCCGGAATTAATAATAAAAGAAAAAAAATAGAGTGGTAGGGTGTAGCTGAAGCGGTTAACGCAGTAGGGTCTGAACATCGCACTGTGAGTGAATTAAAAAAAGAAATGTCCCGGTGTAAAGGTGTACAATTTTGTAGTGTCTATTTAGGCTGTGCAAATTCTCATTGGAATGAGCTAGTTGAGAGATTCCCACCCGTTTGATTGACAGAGACAACAACACTAAAGATAGTGAACATCAGTCGTGTGAGTGGCGTAACATGTAAAGTGCATAGACACTATCATTCCTGAACCGGGTACGAATTCAGCTTCTGATGAACTCATTCTTCTTTTTTCCCCCTGCTACATATCAGATTTTGCCTACTCTTCATCACGAGGAACACAAGTTGGAATCATTAATAAGTCTGTGTATTATGTTAAGCGCATTTGAGCATCATATATTACTTGCACATTTATTGAATGGAAATGTTTCTGATTCACGTATGCAAATATGTCTTTAGGTGGGCACCTTTATAGCAACGTGCGTGCAGTCGATCGCTCTGACTACATTGGGAAAACTGGCGATTGCTGCAAATTGCGCTTTAATGTTTGGCTGGTCAACTGCATTGTATGGAAACTTTATATACCTGCTAGACATGCGGATGAACCTGTCCCATACAGTTGCCATTTCACGGCTCAAAAACACTTTGTAGTGTGCAATTTAACACAACTGCCTCTAGTAGTCACCAATGGAAATAAAACAAACACACACAAGAAATGCATGTACACCAGGCATGAAGTTGGGGTGGGTCAACGCACATTCTCCTGTTCATTTCATTGTTAGTAAATCCAAACCTGAGCATGAAACGTGCAACGTTTTTGTGCGTATGTAGCATTGATACATAACGCCCCTGGTGATCTGATCTAAAGGTGAATAAAGGTGACATATAAACATGCAGGTGGTGCGTCCCTAAAACTGCAGTTGGTAACCACTGGTTTAAATATACTGAATTATGCAAAAATAAATAAATAAAATAAGTCAAATAGACTGTCACATCACCAACAGCATATGTGTTATTTAGTGAGTAAAAAGTTAAGTTGCAGGCACAAGAAGAGAGAGAATACAGTTTAACAAACTTTTATAAAAGTTAGTTTCATATTTAACAATTATCGATTAGTTTTGTATGACTGAAGTGGATAAAAGTATACCAGATTTGAATCACTCCGATACCATGCTAATTAAACCATTTGTCATTATTTAAGTGAAAGATGGACGCCCCCTGGGATCTGCTGAAGATACACAGTGTTTTAAAGTGGAGAAAAAGGACGCACAGACACGTGAGTGTGACCATATCTGTTGTTTCTAGAGATATAAGAATGCTTTTTAATCTTCTTCTACCGTTTCAGAGTATGAGAAGCTAAATATGGTTGTGTGTGGGAGCAACAGCTCACTGAAATCCTCCATCTCAGAGCTGATCCTGCAACACACACACAGAAGATCAGAGAGTGTGAGGACAGATGTGGATCTTCATGGTCGTCTGATCAATGTGCTGGAGCTTCCAGCTCTGTTCAACACTGGCCTCTCAGAGGAGGAAGTGATGCGTCAGACTCTCCGCTGTGTGTCTCGCTGTCATCCTGGAGTTCATGCTTTCCTCCTCATTATTCCTGACGCTCCACTCAATAATGAAGACAGAGCAGAAATGGAGGAGATCCAGAAGATCTTCAGCTCCAGAATCAACAAACACATCATGATCCTCATCAAGCAGAACTCAGATCATCAGACAGCAGAACTCAATGAAGAAACACAGACTGTCATTCAGAGTTTTGGAGGAAGACATCAGTACTTTAATCCTGAAACACAAGTGTCCACATTGATGGAGAACATTGAGAAGATGCTGGAGGAAAACAGAGGAGGCTTTTACTCCACAGAGACATTTCTGGAGGCACAGATGACCAAACTGATGAAATATAAAAAGATGAAGAAGAAACTTCACTTACCACAGGCACACTTAACTTTACAAGGTACTTGAGTTGAAAATAAATTTGTGTCTTAAAATATGAGGCAGGAAAATTATTAAACTGATAATTATAGTAAGAGAATTCTGCAGCAGTTTTAATCTACCGTATTGTTTTATACATTAGTTTTAAAACTTCAGCAAATTTAGATTACAATACTCCACTCTAATTAAGCCTCTATAATGATCTATTTCTTAATGGCTGCTGGGTTAGACTGACTTCCCCAATTTTAACAAGTGGTTCATCAGATTCATAAGCAAATAATTATGTTGGGTACATTTAGGGCACAGAGTTTTGCTCAATTACACTCAAGTACCACCTGAGGATCTAAGTCAGTTCAAAACTTATTGACATTGACATCAAATAGATCTAGATATGTGGGATAATCCCTTGCCTTCAGGTGGCAACAGGAAGTTGCAAACTTAATGACCCCAAATAATGCAGACCTCTATAACTCTATAACTTATATCTGTGCAATATTTTGAGGGTCAAGGAGGATTAAAGAGGGTCATAGGGAGCAGATGTTTGGGGTATTAAGGTAGGAAGAATCCCCCTTCATAAGGTCATCTGTGTTTTCTGCAAAACATGCATAAAACCAAGAGTGAGTGATTGGATCTCAGCACTTTTTGACAACAATGATTTTGTGCTGACAGGATTTAGATTTCTAACTGAGAACCTGTAGTAGAATTGGTCGATAGTAGGGTGGACAATGGTTTTTCTTTAGCAATTTCATCAGTTGGGCTTTGCTATGGAATTTGCTGCTCCATAGGCTTGCTTAGTCATTTAAGATGTGAGTCTCGTGGGTAACTGTATCCATCCCACCTGTAGGAGGTACATAATGATGAGAAAACGAGACATGGAGTTTGTTTTTCCACACAATGCAGAACTGAAAAAGTCAGGGGTTCAAAAAGGTGCTGGACAGTAATTTGAGCACAGGTTGTATAAGAAAGGAGCCATCCTAGTGGGTCATATTGGGAAGCAAGTATCTAATAAATATTCCACAAGGTAGGTATCAGACAGCTGACAGGTCTGTGTTTGTAGGACAAGGTATCAGATTACCAATTTCAACTCAAACCTAAGGTAGATTCTGGGATGTCAGAATTTTCCCAAGTCAGCCAGTATTCCATACTTACAAAATTTAGCATCAGAGGGCAAATAACTCGACACTACAGGATCATTACTGGTCCACTGTCAAAGCCAGTTGACAGATTATCAATTAAGCTTTGTGGTGCCTCAGCAGTAGGTTGGCACTTCATAAAGAAATTGATGTCCTCATCTGCCAAAGGTGCTGACAGTTAGGATTATAAGAGCATAGGTAGCACAACAAGGGGTTTCTATGGTAAAGAAGAATAGTGGATAGTTGACAAACGCTCTCTATTATCTCTAGGGCACTAGAGGCCTGTTTCAGAAAGGAGGTTAAGTGAAAACTCAGAGCATTTTAACCTTGAAATGAGAGAAACTCTGGGTTTTCCGTTTCAAAATGGCAGGTTTGTTAAACTCGAGAAAGTAGGGTAAGTCAAACCTGCACTGAAAAAAGTTATTCAAAGATGATTCCTTGGATTTACTCCATTTTTTTTTTTTTTACGTTAAGTGGTTGTAAACAATTTATTTTTAATTTGAATTTAAACAAACAAATTAAGTTGAACATTATTAAATTTTATTTGTTTGTTTAAATTCAACATAAATAAATTGTTTTCAACAGTTCTGCATGCAACACTTTTTTCAGTGTGTTTCTAAACGAGAGGTAACTTTAACTTAAAGTCAGTTACCGTGGTAACTTACTTTGTGAACCTAACCTGGTCAGGAGCAGGTTTATTCTCTAAACTCTGAGTTTCTGTAGGTCTCCTCCCCTTTTTTAAAGATGAAGTGGTATTTCTCGCCTTAGCTTTATGTTTCCACCCACCTATTTTAATGCTCATTTTGGAGATGTGCATAAAAACGATTGATGGAAACGTCATGATGGACATAACTTTGGAAAATACACATAAAATACACGCACATAACTGAGTAGGATAAACTTTTATTCGATAGAAAAGATGCGCCTAAACTATGATGGAAACACTTTTACTGAACAAATTACAGTATGTGCATTAAAAAAAGGTTTGTTATTTGATGATGAAAATGTGTGTGAATGGACAAACAGGCAGGCTGAGCACACTGTAACACGTCTTAAATGTTGTTTTGCTCATTCATTCTAAAAATCATTCACCGTTTCAGTATTAATGTTATTACATTATTAATGACCTCCAGAGCGTCTGGAGCATGTCAAGAGCGTTCTCCGCATCTAATGGCTTCAAACGCCCCCACGTGTTCATTGTATGTCAGCATTGTCTTCTGAGGTGCTAGTACATTTATTAAATATAGAAAAGATTGACGCTGCTTCTTCTACTGCAGTAAATTCTGTTACTGTTATTCTGTTGATATTTGGTGCCTGTTTAATCAGGAAGTGACGATTTTGTTCTCTTTGACTCGTTGGATGGAAACGCTGCTTTATTCACACATATCTTTAATGCGATATTCCAGTTTTGCCCATAAATTTAATGAATAGTATTGGATGGAATAATAGCTATTGTCTACATTACAGTCAAACAAAAAACAAAGTTAAGCACGAGAATGGCTTGTCCTTTTTTAATAAATAAAGCTAAAATTCACTGACCTTCAGCAGGGACAAGTAGCCTAGATTAATAGTATTATTATTCTTTCTAAAAACTATTGTTAGTACTGCTTACATTCTAAATTTCATATCAACCTCTATCACCTGATTAATAAAAAAGGCAGACACACAAGTGCACTGTTAAATCTATTAAAACTGATAAAAGTGTATAAAAGTGGGAACGTGTGTAACGATTTCATTAACGTCACACATAACATTACTAATTTTATTAAACTTAAATATTTAAATACTTTAAATGTAAAATTATGCATTATCTTAAGCAGTTATATTTTCCCATGCTAACTGTCTCTGTTTTACTGATGCAGTGGTGTTGCTTTTTAAAATATATGGTCATATTTGCTATAACTATGCAGTGTGCGCACTTAACTCTGAGATGGTTTACTCAAAGTTGATTGACCTAACTCAGATCAGCTGTTCTGAAACAAAAAACTCTGACTTTCTAATCTCTCAGTAAATCAACTCAGAGTTCAAGTTTAAAATTCGAGTTGGTTGAACCTCCTTACTGAAAGCCCCCAGGCCCCAGACGTAAAACTCAGTTTCTAGAGGGCCGCAGCTCTGCAGTCTAGTTCCAACCCTAATTGAACACACCTGGGGGCTATTCCATAAACTAAGCTTACAGAAAAAGCCAGGCTTATTTTGGTAAGTCAAGTTTATTAATGGCGGATTCGGTTTAATAAATCAAATTTAAGATAGTTCAAACTTGAGCTAAGTGTAACAAAGGTTCTTTGGGTGGGAAGAAGAAAACAGGGTCGGCGTTGAGGTAAGTAACAGACTTATTATTTTTGTTCTTAAATGCGACAGACACTCCCACTGTGTGGTCGTCGGGCAGCTCTCTCTCCCGACTGTTCCTCCCTGTTGTAAATGAGGGCGATGCCGATCCTCTTGTGCACCACCAGAGGGAGCCATCGCCCGAATTCTAATTCGACTCACGGACTCAAAATCCCACAAGCCCTGCTACCTGGCACTGATTGCGGTCCAGGTGCAGCTCATCAACTCCCGTGTATATATACCGCACTCACGCTCTGGTTCATTGCGAAGTCTTGATTTGCCTGGCTGCCATTTCTGAGCGTTCCATACTCCCTGTTTCGGACTGATCTGTGTTTCTGACCCTGTGCTTGTTCTACGATTACGAAAGACATCTGCCTGCCCCTGATCTCCAGCCTGTTATTCTGACCAGTAAGATATCTGTCTGCCTTTGAACTTTTGCCTGTCCCACGTTCTGTCTCCTGGATTGCCCCTTTGTGTTTGTATGTATGTGTGCTTTTAATAAAGCTTGCAAATGGATTCAATGCCTTCTGACTCATCACAACAGAAGACTTCGCCACTACAGAATCCAGCAGCTTTAGCACAAGTTTCTACTGAACTTTCCGCTCAAGCCACTCAGTTAGCCACCCATCATCAACAACTCACCCATCTAACTTCTCTCACGGAGGAACTGGTGAGAGCTATGCAACAACTCCGTCATCCGAATCCTGCAGTTACCCCGCCTGCTACCATGACAGCTCCCCAGCCAACGCATGTCTCCAGTGTTCCGGCTACCGTAAGTCCCCGATTAGCTTTTCCTGAAAAGTTTGACGGTTCACCTTCTCGCTGCAAAGGCTTCCTATTACAATGCAAACTATTTGTTAACCAACAACCTGCATTATATCCCACTGATTCCAGTCGAGTGGCTTTTGTATGCAATCTGTTAACGGGGAAAGCGCTGGAATGGGCTACAGCGATATGGAAGGAGGAGGAATGTAACTACCCCACGTTTGAAAATTTTCTCAAGCAGTTTTGGGAAGTGTTTGAGCATCCAGCAGAAGGGAGAAGCCCCGGTGAGCAGTTACTTTCTCTTACCCAGGGGCGTAACACAGCTGCAGAATACGCCTTGTCATTTCGCACTCTCGCCGCTCAAACTAACTGGGTTGAAGACACACTGAAGACTCTATTCAGACGGGGTCTGACTGCCACTCTGCAATCTGAATTGGCTTGCCGTGACGAAGGAAAGAAATTGAACGAACTCATTGAACTTACCATCCGTCTTGATCATCTGATTCGCTGTCGTAGAAATCCTCGCACACAGCTCCACGTTTCAGGCGAAACACCCCCTGATGAACCCATGCAACTGGGTTTCACCCGTCTTACCCATGAGGAAAGAATGCACCGATTGCAAAATCATCTATGCCTGTATTGCGGCCAATCAGGGCACAGGAAATCCACCTGCAGCGTACGACCTCATACACCAGTTCAATCGGTGAGTCCTTCCCATGTTCCAGCACTTTTTAGTGTACTGATTCCTGTAATTATTAAATTCGATAAAAGAATGATTAATACCACGGCTCTTGTCGAC